GAATTGCGCAAAACTTGAGTTTCGCAAAAGCGGAATAGGGCAATTTTGCGCGAAATGACTTTTGCGAATGATTGCGCAAATTGTTGTTTTTTCGCGCAAAATTGATGCGCAAAGAAAGAAAAATATTGCGTTTCGTTCCGCAAAAATTGCGCAAAAGTTTTGCGAATGGAAACCCTAAACAAAAACTACAAAAAAAGAATAACAATGAAAAACAGCATCAAAGGCAACAATACCAACAACAAGAACAACAATAACAATAACAAAAACCAGAACAACAACAAGGTCAGAAACAAGGACAATTACATTAACAACAACATAGCACCAACAATTAAATTAAAACAATGAAAGCCATTGATAAAGGTGTTGGTTGGAGGGATACTTCAAGTTTGGAATACAACATGGCTTCACCAGAATATTTGATAAAAAGGTCAGTAAAGGAAATGTTAGATTTGCTATCAACGATTGAAACGTTAAAGCTTGGACAGGACCTTTCATATGAAACAGTTGATGGATTTCTATAGAAATGATATAAACCCTATTCTTGTTTTCCATTAAAGAAAAGATAATGGCAAGCAATCATGTACTATGGACGGTACACCAAATTAATTATTATCTTCTAGTAAGTTTAATGTGCAATATCAGATTGCAGTGTCGCATGTCATTAATGGGGTTAAAAGAGTATTGTGTACTTAAAGATATGAAGTTGCTGAAAATTGTCTTAAAACTTCAGAAGGAAATTCATTTTTGAAATTTAATTGTTGAACTCGGGAGAAGCACAGGAATGTTCTTAGCATGGTTTTAAGATTCTAAATTAATTTGCGTTGACTTTTATAGAAAAAAAACTTAGTTTACAGGCTAAGCTATACTAGTACACATATGTATATATTAAGCAGTAATCTTTGTTATGTGTCTGTTTGTAATAAATATCGTGTAACACTATATCTGTAAACCTGATCTACATTACATTATTAATCATCTACGTTTGTAAATAGCTACGCAAAACTTGTATTGCGATTAACCTAACCCAGGGGGACTGGAACTTAGCTACCTGGCTATGAGAAATAGCCTGAACAATGAAGTATTGCCAGAGTCGGCTTAAGGTGGGGGGGGGGGAGGGGGAAGCCCACCCCCTAGAAAATTAAGGGGACGTCCCCTTCCCTGGAAAACTGAGGGGAAACCTGTCCTTCCCCCCCTTGAAAATGAGTAGCGAAAGCCATTTAATTTAGATTTGCGAACTCTTGGTTTGCGAACAGGAAACGTCCTGAATCACTGTCTTGAAAGATAGAACTAGATTGGGAATTGATACAGATAAAGTTGTGTCCGGATTGACATTGATAGTAAAGTATTGTGGAACTGACTAGTTCTTATGCCTCGCTAATCATAGCGAGAGGGATTACTATTGATACAGATAAAGTTGTGTCCGGATTGACGTTGACAGCAAAGTGTTATTGAACAAACTAGTTCTTAGCCTCGCGAATCATAGCGAGAGGGATTGAGTATTGATACAGATAAAGTTGTGTCCGGATTGACATTGATAGCAAAGTGTTATTGAACAAACTAGTTCTTATGCCTCTTAAGATTAACGATAGGTATTGAGTTGTATCTGGATTGATGGGTATAAAAGGATTTATAGAAGTACATGTTTATATGTCCGATCATAACTCAGGAACACTTAAACAATTTGCCTCAAATTTTGATTGGGGAACCCGATAGAAACACGGGAATGTTTTTTACCCTGGTTTAAACGTTTTAAGTTCAGTAGGTTGGCTTTTAAATGGAAAACTTAGCTTTTTTAGCTGGGAATATATAAACTAAATTAAGAATAAATGCAAGACGTCTTTTATCTTTGAAATTTTTTGTAACATTTAGTCGTCAACCTGATTTAACATGTATGATTCTTTCAACCTCAAAGTTCTCTTGTCCTGGGATTTCCAAAATGTGGTCTGCCTTTTCTGTACCATTAATATTATCGGAGATATTAAAAATTTCCTTCAAATTTAAATTTTTTAAAATAAAACAAAAATATTTTGTTATTATTAACTCTAGAACGTTACTACTAAACTTAGGTTTACGAATAAATGCCTTTAATTAATTCTGAGATAAAAGACGACCTTCAAGTAGTCTTGCTACTGTCATGTTTCGCTGGACACCCTGTATGTCAAATTTCATAATCATTTATTGGGCTCTATCAGATTGAATTTTATTTTAATTAATATTTTTTTAGAAAGTTACCCAAGAATATCTCTCTCAAAAATCTTAGAGAATCCAGTTCCCATGTTTTTTTTTTCATTTTACATTTTACATTTACATTTTTATTTTTTTAATTTAAATGAAATACAACTTTCAGGGTCGGCTCAAGTTTGTGGGAAATTTTCAGGTAAAAATTTTAATTAATTGAAAATTAAAAATAATAGATAATTATTGGATATGTTTTAGAATGGTATAGCAGTCGGAGTTTGTTGGAAGATAATTCGGTAAGATATTTGTTTAGTAGCAAACTGTACTTCATGGAACTGAACTAAAATTTACTTCATGAAACTGAACTTTACTTAACTGAACTGAACTGAACTGAACTGAACTGAACTGAACTGAACTGAACTGAACTGAACTGAACTGAACTGAACTGAACTGAACTAACCTGAACTGAACATAACTGAACTGAACTTACCTGAACTGAACTAACCTGAACTGAACTGAACTGAACTGAACTTAACTGAACTGAACTAACCTGAACTGAAGTGAACTGAAGTGAACTGAGATGAACTGAACTGAACTGAATTGAACTGAACTGAACTGAACTGAATTGAACTGAACTGAACTGAACTGAATTGAACTGAACTGAACTGAACTGAACTGAACTGAACTGAACTTTACTTAACTGAACTGAACTGAACTGAACTGAACTGAACTGAACTGAACTGAACTGAACTAAACTGAACTAACCTGAACTGAACTAACCTGAACTGAACTGAACTGAACTGAACTTAACTGAATTGAACTGAACAGAACTGAACTGGGCTGAACTGAACTGAACTCAACTGAACTGAATTGAACTGAACTGAACTGAATTGAACTGAACTGAACTGAACTGAACTGAACTGAACCTAACTGAATGTAGGGGTGGTGGATGTGTGGTAGGACGGGTTGACCAGCACGGTGAGCTGACAGGATGCAGAATAGGTAAACCCTTAAGTAAATTTGAAATAAATCAAAACAAAATTGAATTCCACCCAATCAAAACACTATTAATTCGACGAGAAAAAAAAAACATGTAAAAACATGTCTGTAAAGCTTAAACCACAGATCCCTGTTTCCGAGAAATATTCCTCTCCACAACCATAACCTTAGAGAATTTATTCACAGTTGTTCAAGCCAGGACGGAGAGGTTAAGCAGATCATGTTCAAGCCAGGACGGAGAGGTTAAGCAGATCATGTTCAAGCCAGGAC